AGATTATAATACTAGATTACGTAATACGAATAATAACAATAGATCTAGTGAATATAACAGGATGAATAAAATGTTTTTGTTACAATAATTAAAGGCCATTAAAGATCATAAAGGTGTAAAAATAATGCGAGTATACGACATCAGTAAAGGGAAATGCAAAAATAATATTAATTAAGGCCAAGGTAACGATAACGATAGGACGTACTTTTATTGTATGAATAGTTCTAGTTTAACCTCATGGATGGTAACAGCTTCCGTTGATTTTAGGAATTGGATACGAAGAAATCTAGGTAGATTTGAACGAATCCTATCAACAAACTTAAAATCAAACTATGGATCCGTAGAATGATTACAGTCGATTAGGTGTTCAAGTATAGAATTCCTAACTCGAACACTACTAGTCGAGTGAGAGCTTATGGCGAACTGTCATCTACTTTTGTAACCTCAAGTGGTGTCCGTCAAGGATGTCCACTTTCCCCATTTTTGTTTAACTTCATCATAGACCTACTAATGGAAATAACTTTCTCGTCGACTGAGTTCTCGGGTATTGATCTCCATCCAGGAGGTCCACTTATCGACTTAGAATACGCAGATGACATAGTCCTGTTTGGTGAAGACGCTGACAAAATGCAGAGTCTTCTGGTAGCACTGAGCAACAACGCCAGGATGTTTGGAATGCGCTTCTCTCCCTCTAAATGCAAGTTGTTGCTTCAGGACTGGTCTGCGTCAACACCTGAACTAAGGATAGGGAGTGAAGTAGTCGAACGCGTTGACAACTTCACTTATCTTGGAAGTCTGATCAGCCCTAACGGGTTGGCATCGGACGAAATCTCAGCACGGATTCGAAAAGCTCGTTTGGCTTTTGCCAACTTACGTCACCTGTGGCGAAGGCGAGATATCCGTCTATCAATAAAAGGACGAGTATACTGCGCGGTAGTCCGTTCTGTTTTAATTTACGGCAGCGAAACATGGCCTTTAAGGGTAGAAGACACTCGTAAGCTACTAGTATTTGACCACAGATGCCTTAGAAACATTGCTGGCGTCTGCTGGGATAATCGGGTAAGTAATAGTGAGGTTAGACGCAGGGTATTAGGAAATGATGGTAAATCAGTTGATGAGGTTATGAATCTTCATCGACTGAGATGGTTAGGCCACGTGTTACGTATGCCTGAACACCGATTACCACGACGTGCAATGCTATCCGGTATTGGAAATGATTGGAAGAAAGTTAGGGGCGGCCAAACCAAAACGTGGCATCAGTGCTTGAAGTCACTAACTTCTAGTCTGAGCCATGTTGGTAGATGCAGACTACTTGGTTGGGGTTCGCGTGACTTGCGTAACCAATGGTTGGAGACTCTTGGTGACATGGCTCAGAATCGATCACAATGGCGTCGGTGTATACACTCCCTGTCTTCCCTTAAACTAAGAGATTAAAAGCGCTTCATATCTTTCTTTCTACTAACCAATTCTTTCTTCTTGTACTATATCTCTATATGCAATCTTCCTCTTATATATTACCACCTTTTACCTAACCACTGTTATGAATCCGGTGTTCATCTTGTTGTGCTGATGCGGTATGGCAACCTGGACCGATGCACATATGTGCCTGGTCCTACGTTGTAACTGACTGACTGACTAACTGCTGTCCTATCACCTTTGTAGAACCAAACTGGGACATTTTAATCATCTTATAATATTCACTAAATCTATTATTATCATTCGTATTACGTAATCTAGTATTATAATATTTCTATTACATCATCTTGGTCATTCGTGTTCACATTTCTTCACAGAACTTGTACTTTAACAAAATGTTTTCATATATATACAACAGTACAGCTTAGTAATCAATTCGTTGAAAAGAGATTCCTTCACTGAACTTCATGTTTTTAATTTTTAGTATTCGAATTACTATTTTTTGTTATTTAGAAATAATTATAATCTAAATGAGATGGTCAATGAATTCTTAAGCAAAGTTAATTTAAACCATTTTATATACAAATCAAATCTTTTTGTTTTGGCTTCATCCTTAAAATATTTAACTTGGCAATAGTAGATCTTAAATTCAAAATGAAGTCATTTTAACTGACCATGTAGTATAGTCAGGCTTCACATCATTTAAATACGGTACAAAGCTTAATATACACAATTTGTATATAGTACATCAGGAAATCAATAAAGAAATATTAATATATACGGTGTCTGGTTCCCCCTGCTAAACGGGGTTGAGCTGTACTGTTTGGGTTGTCACGTGAAAGTCCGGATGGTGTCTGGTTCTCCTGAAAACCAACGTAAAATTACCCTGGCCCACAAGGGTATATTATATAACTAATAATTATTATATAACATCAGGAAATTAATAAATAAATGTTAATATAATTAAATTAATCCATGGAAAGTTACATATATAGCTGTTATCCTATCAGATATTAACCATCCCCTTCACTTATATCTTTCTTCTTGTATATTTTCGAGTAGAACGAGATGTCAATCCATTAAGATCCATTCATGAAAGTAAAAGTATAAAACTATAATATCTTATCTAGCGAATATACTCTGTGATGAACAAGTTGTTAGAGTTAACTTAGTCAATAACCTGTATTCTTAAACATGTCTCTAATTGAAAAAAAGTTGTACACTTTCAGATTTTTTTCAGTTTTTTTCTTTCTTTTTTTGTTGTTGTCGTTTCGTTTGTTGTATAAGACACATGTTGTAATACCTTGTGCTGAGAACTCTATATTGTACCAAACTATAATACTGAATGAAGCCATTAGTAATAATCATGATAGCATATACCATAAGTGTAGACAGATTATAATATAAAACTATCTAAAATAAGATTTCGCAGATTGAAATCATGAGTCAATTGAAGCTAGAACACCATGGAAAACCCGGAAGCACTAGACGGTGCACTGCTGAGAAGTTCCATACTAGGACGAAACGGTCATCCAGTGCTTCCAGGTTTTCCATGGTGGTCTATCTTCAATTGACTCATGATTTCAATCTGTGAAATTTATAAAATCTTCACAAACCCCTTCTGATAAAATAAGATTATAAATGTATTTACAAGCGAAAATTGGCTTAAAACATAAGATCTATTTACTGCCGTTGAAAAGTCCTACAATAGGACAAAATGATCGTCCAATACTTCTAAGTTTCCTATGGTAATCTAACTTCAATTAACTCATGATTTCAACTATTGAAATTACAAAATAAATTTTACAACGAACATTACTATGATTATTAATATTTACGTTGTAATTATAACGCAACTTTCCAGTCAATCATTCAACTTTCTAATCTGTAGAATATTTCTTTGACATAAACTTTAGGACAATATACGTTTGAATAGCTCTTTAATTCAAGTTGATACAAGTGAGAAAAAAGAGACCATTTTATGATACGGTCCATGCTTTTTTAGTGTTAATAGATATTTTATCTATCGAAGTTACATTCAAAACCATTTCGAAAACCTTTAAATAGATTAGTATAGTTTTCAAATTTATAATATATGTGATAAAAATTTGTTTATTAGTCAATATGTACTGTCTAGTTTCAAAAGAATTTATCCAAAGTTCTAGATGAACACTGTACAATTTTCAGAGTTATTCATATCTGGAATGAACCAAATGCTCATTGTCCCCAAATGCCCTGGTATGGCCGAGGGTGGGGTGGGCCCCTCTACCTCTCGAAATGCTCTCACACGGCCACGCGTATACAACCTCTGCCATGGATGTCCTACTCACTGCCTTCTCGTAGCAGAGACGTTGTTTACGAAATTAAGAGGACGAAAAGCGAATGTCCGGCGCATTACCCGATCCCAAACCAATGGTGCACATGGGCTCCAGTATCCTGAAGGAACAAATGGCGTATGAACCAATCGTTGGCCACCGGCTACCAAGGAACTGCATCTCCTCACGATGCTCCACCGCTTTGTGGATCAGACCTTTTAGGTCAAAGGCTCGGGATGTGGATCCCTAAGAAAACCACCTGCTTCGATTTGGGCACCTGGGCAGTATCACAACCGACACACACACAAATATGGTGTGGTGCCCTCTTGTACCAATATTTATGTGTTGAAATAAATAAATAAATAAATACATGCTCATTAAAAACATTTGATCATAATAAGATATGAATTGATTGTAATAATCAGTGAATTCTAATTCAATAGATCAATTTTATTATTATACTCTACGAAACCTAAAGGTCCTGAATTCTATTGTACTGTTTTGGAGTTCAAAATGGGAACAGAATTAACTATATAGAAATATCTGTACATGTGGTAATAGTTTAAGTATTTTAAAAATAACATTTAAAGCCAAACGTTACTCTAATGTCAACCATCAACTTTTTACTGTATAACAACTTATGTCTTTGTGAGAACATAATTGGCAATTCAATAAGCTTATACTATTAAATTGAACTACATATGAAAATATTGATTTACATATAGAAAAAGGTAAAACAACACCTTTAACTATTACAATAAATGTCCCGAGATTTACACTAGACAGTTTCGAATGTACAGTGAGTACTGATCAATATCATATTTTTCTAGTCTTTTTAATGCTAATAGAATTTTATTGATTAATTTGGAATGTTACATTCCAGTTTGAGTGAGTCGACATCAGATGCCCTGTGTTTTGATGTTTATTGCTAGGAAATAATAGACAGAAAACCCTAAAAATAAATTTTCGGCTAGTTGTCAGTCGTCAGTAATACACACATAAAATCATATAGAAACTGAAGCTTTATGATCAGTCAACTTACTAGAGCTACAGCCCGAATAACGCAGTGGTAATTTCTCTGTCAGTATTCAAATCCTACAGAGATTATCAATTCCCTCAAGATTGCAGATATAGTTTGTTGATGAGTGCTAAATAAGACAAAATACTAGATACAGGTTTCCTTGTCGGTCAACACAATTTCAAAATATATAAATACAATGTTTAATTTTAAAAAGAAAGAGGAAGATAATTATCCACTGACAAACTTACCACTAACTGATTGGAAGACAATGATTCTGCTTCACTAGAATGATTTCCAATAGTTGAACAACATTTAGACGAATTCATTGTTACATTTGGATATGTTCTAGTTATATAAGGAGTAATAATAGGTATCGGTACAAGAACTGGTAATGGAAGTGAATATGGCATTGTATTAGATTTTCTTAAATCTAAGACATTCTTTCCTTCAGAATAACTTAAACTAGTACTGTCACCAGAACTAACATCAAATTGATTATATTGTTGTTTAATTTCCTTCTCCTTCGTCTCCATTTCCAATTCTCTTTGTGTTCCTTCTGTATCCATATCGCTTGTCTCATCATTATGGTCATGTCTATATGGATAATGTTTAATATGCTTATTATTCGACATATATTCGAAATCTTCATTTTCTTCATTGATTTCATTTAGATTAGGATTGGCATATTGCCAGCAATTATTTATAGGTTTCTCTTTGAATATTGTATATTGTGAATGATGTATTCTACAACATTTATAGTTATTGATATGATTTTTCACAGCGTTATTAGTGGTAGCAGTAGCAGTAGTAGTAGTAGTAGTAGTAGTAGTAGTACTAATACTAATAGGATATCTGTATGATGAATATTGATTTAATGTTACACAATTATTTAATTCGGCCAGGATTTATTCTTTGCTTACATAGAACATCCTAATTTCATTGAACACTATGTTGCAATTAAGTAAACAAATAAATTAACAAATAAGATTGCATAAATTATTGAGAACAGATTTGACAGTAAAAAATAATCCATTAACCCCTCCACATATACAAACGAACAAATAAACAGACAAAAAGAAAAACAACTTATATCCAATTTTATTGATATGTTTGTTGAATAAAAATAAATTCTAAAAATCTTTCTTAGGATAGATAAGATGAATAACAAGAATAAATACTTCCATTTTTGACAATTAATTGACCAATAGAAAACGAGGAGGGGATTAACCAATCAAAGCAAGAGATTTCAAGCAAATAAGATTGTTTCCAATTAAATTATCCTTAAACATTTTTTTTCTAAAATATACTTGTATATGTAGAACTTTAAACCAATTAAGATGATTTCCGAGTTAGTAATAAGATAAATGTAAATTAAGTAACTAAACGTATTGGAAAAAAATAATAATAGTACAACGGAAGTTGGTCGTTCAGTTTCGTGGATGTTAGACACTATCACCACTGGATGCCGGCCCAGTGGTCCATTTGGTTAAGTGTTCGCGCGCGAGACCGAGGGCGCTGGGTTCGAATCCCGTGTGTGGGATCGTGGATGCACACTGCTGAGGAGTCGCGCAATGGGACGAAACAGCCACCCAGTGCTTCCAGATTTCCAAAGGTGGTGGTCTCACATCAATCGGTTCATGATCTCAATCAAAAACTTAATAAGATAATGACTGGTGGCTAATCGATAGTAACTGAAATAATGAAAATATGTATGTTAGTTAACGTTACGAATATTTTAACGATTGTTTATCAGTAATTCTATTATTCAGTTCATAGAATAGGTTGAGTGCCAATAACAGACTGATCAATTGCTGTCTTAAACCTGAATGAGAAGATTCAAGCCAAATAATATCAAGTGAATTTAAATTCACCCCATTGCACGAGCAGATAGCCATTAGGATTCATTAGCTCATTAGATAACGTGGTGGCGTTTGACGCGAATGATGCTGGATTCAAGTCCCAGAGAAAACATCAACTCTGAGATGCAGGTACATCCAGCTGACGAGCCCCAAATAGGACGAAATGAGAGTCCTGGGTTCCACTACTAGCCACTATTCATCTTTGCTTAGAATGCTTGTGAATTAAGGCAATATCGAGGCAATATGCACAGTATGCACATATGCCAATAACAGACTGATCAATTGTAGTGTTAAACCTCAATAGGGAGATTCAAGCAAAACAATACCAAGTGAATCAGTTTTATATCTTATTCCGTTATTACTACTTATTGGTAAGACTAAACAACATGTAAACTATTTGTTCATTCATCATTAAGAGACAACACAGGAAGGCTATATATATATATATATATATATATATATATATATATATATATATATATATATATATATATATATATATATATATGCAGATTTTGATAGCCTAAAACGTTTTTAGTACATAAAAATCTGACTACAAGTAAGGTAAACGAAAACTCGGGTGGGGAAGACCAATTTATTGTTTAGTGCACAATTGTAGGGTGCTTTCATAAAATATGAAAATCATGCACTAAATACTTCATTTAAACATTTTCAATCAATTGTCTCTTACAAACCTCATCATGCCTTTATTCCTGTTCTCTTCAACTCAACCTTCTGCAACCAGGCATTTCACTTCTGATTGATGTTACATACTACTTTTTTCTGTACAATACATATTACTAGTAGTACTGGTAAAACACTTAATACTCAAATGTTTATGAAATGCAATTGAATAAAATAGCTGAACAATATTACTATTCTATTGAACATGGAGTTTAACTTATTCACTGTATATTGATTGTAGTTTACCTCTGATATAACAGATGTATACAATATTATCCTTCATTTTGAGCTACATTTCAAATTCTGTTTAAGATCAAACTTTATTGAAAGTTCGTTCTGCTTTTTCACCTTATTTTCATTCTCCCTTAATCGGTACTTCATCAAGTTTTTATCGACTGCTTATAAGGTATAATAACATAAAACGTAAAGTTGAACAAAGAGGAAATATTAAGTTTTTACAGAGAGTTATCACGATCAACGTTAAGTAATTGTGAAATCGTTGAGTCTTTATTAATTTCTACTTTTCTATCCCGAATGCTCTCGTACGTACTTCTATATATACTCCAAACCCAGGTCATGATATAAATTCAGACAAGATGTAAACGAATTAAAGACTGAAATTTATTAAATAAATATTAATCCAAAATTATAAATTGCTTGAGAAGATTTAAAAACACCAGAGAATAAACCAGAAGATCATTTATAATACAAAGAGAAAAGATTTAAAGGGGGGACACAAACAGAGATTTCAAAATATCGATTGTTTAGATAGACAGAGAAAAAAAGCATCTCATTCTATAGAGCTTCTGATTGTTTTTTCTATGAACCACCTGAGTAGTGAATTCCTTGAAGATAAATTTGTACTTAGAACTATCTCAAATCATATTTTTCAGTTTATATATTTCTGTGAATTAAGATATATCATCCATTCAACTGTGTATCCTTTTCTCTTTGCAATATTATATATTAATAACAATTATAAAATAGCTTTTAAAAGAAATCCACAACATTCAATTCTACCTCATTATTCATTGAAATACAAGAGTAGTAAAGAGATACAACATTCTTCTCTTATAAACCGGAAGTAGTTGACATCTAATTCAAAAATGAATAAAGTGTGTAGTTTATCCTCAACATACCCCCCAAAAAAAATAAAAAAATAATCAGAAGAAACACAACTATAACAATGATAAAAAAAACTACTTATTTCAACTCCGGAAATATTATTCAATCAATTGAGATTAATTTAAGGGGGTTTAAATTATTATCTTTTTAATAGATAAAAAAAGAAAAACAAAAAAGAAAGAAAGAAAATAAAACAAATGAGAATGTAACCAGAAGTAATAAATTGACTAGAATAGAAAGTTCAATAGTCAATTGTGGTTGATAAGCATAAATAAACATAGAATATAAGAAACTTCTCTCAATTCCTTCTTTTAATTTAGTAATCAATAAATATATTATACTACTCCTCATTTCATAACTTGTTATTATTGCATTGTTGTTGTTATTATTGTTGTTGATTCAATGTCATTGATAAGGTATTTCCGGAATGAACTACTAATCTGAAAGTAACGTAATAAATGGACAAGATATTCTATTATAAATCAAGAATTTATTAATACTTAAACATAACTAAACTAGTTAATTGTTGCTTTCAATCAGATATGTATGTTTTTATTCTTCTTAAGAAGAATTAGAAAAAAGTTGATTTAGTTAAAACATGTCAATATATTTGTGCGTGCGTGTGTGTCATGGATGACTGTTGCTATGGTGATAAAGAACGTGTTTATTTGTATAGATTCGATAGAAATTTTAACACATTACATTTATTTTTGTAAAATATATGTAGATAGATCTGTGAAGAAAGAAAGAAAGAAAGAATGATAAAGTTGATGATTGTAGTACAAAGATTTTGAAATTATTTTAATTTTACATTGGTTTCCAGGAGAACCAGACGCCATCTGGATCTTCACGTGACAACCCAAACAGTACAGCTCAACTCCGTCTAACAGGAGAACCAGATACCGTATAGGCTTTAACGCTACAATCTGAATAGTACAGCTCAATCCTGCAGCACAACCACACAGGCACTGAGCACCCTGGTGGACCAATTTAATAATACTGATCCAACGTTATTAAGGTTTGTTAATTGACTAAACGTAATACACAGCGATTTCATATTAGCTAGTAATCTCTTGTAAGAATTAGACAACATGATATTGCCTTTTAGCTAGTGTGAAATTTATGTAATTATCTTAATCTTATAGAACGTCAGTTAGGGGGACTATATAATTGAATGTTTCTGCCTATAACGATAAGTGACATGAGCACAAATCTCTTGATAAGTACTAATTATTGCACGCATTCGGACACATTAAGCTAATTAGTCTAGACAAACAATAAATTTATGTTTAAGTTTACCCGATAACTATATACAATCATCTAATTTCTCATAAAATTCACCAATTTATCAAACCACTAAGAATAATGGTAACAATTTACATTGATTGATAAAATTTGACATACATTAAGGATCACACAACATAGCATGACTTACTATTCCAAGCTTTCTGTTCACTTAAAGTTTGATTGGACCGCATTATAGAGAATAAAATGAGTTTTAATTTATTTTTGAATTGGTTGTTTGAATCTTCACATTGATGTTTACGACTGATCACTCACTTATAGACACATGTTCATCCTGTGCAGATTGCCTCGATATTGACATTAAGTCACAATCACTACAGGTAGGGATGATGGTGACTACCAGTAGAATCCGGGACGCGTGTTTCGTCCTGTTTGGGACTCGTTAACTGGATATACCCGCATCCCGTAATCGATGTTCACGCCGGGACTCGAACTCAGACAAATGTTAATTGAAAGCAGTGATAATATAAATCAATTATCCAGAGATCGATCACAAATATTGTCAATTAAATTATTTAAATTATCCTGGGACTTCTAGCAAGTCTCAGCCAATCATCTAAATTGGAACATTAAAGACTGATAACTTAGAACTAATAAATCTCTGTAATGAACAATAAATTTCTTCACTTTAAAAAAGACATTAGTATTCTTAATTTCAATCTTTAACTCAGCTTATTTATGTGACTATGAATAAATTTTTTAATGACTCTAAGCACTTTGCTATATTACTAACATTATTACACAAAATAAGCCAATAGATATTTTAGTGATTTTCTCAGCTATTTAGTTGATCATCCTGATCTCTCACATTGTCCGAACATTTCATGCATATGTACTCATTGTTGCTCTGATCTGCCTAGTGTCTTCTGAAGAATATCGGCTTTCATTATAAAGCATCATAATTCTCCCTTCAATTCGAAGGGCAGAGTTTAAATAGTTTAAATTGTTTATCCTTGTTAGCATTTTT